TCCTTATCGCCACGGTATGGTTAGCCGCCATTACTAAACAGGCTATAAACCCAACAATTATAAACTTAATTTATGCCTGTCTTGTGGTGTGGCGGATATTATTAAAACCCAACAGTTCTAATTTCGGTCTTGTGATGTGACTGGTTATTACAAACTTGTGTATGTGTAGTGTATTGAGTTGTATTTGTGGGTTTATGTCTCACCGGGGTGTGGGTGTAGGTCATCAAGGCACATGGTCCTCAGGGAGGTGTCCTCCCCGGCCACCACAGCACATGGGGACTGGCAGAGGGGGACGCGGGGCCAGCCTACACACACACTACACAAGCCACAATGACCGCAACCAACGCCTTCCTCGCACTAATGTCCACTCCAATTTTCTCACCTAGTTGCCTTTATTTTTCGTCATTTGTATCACTGAATATTTAAGGGTCAGTATTTCATTCGCTTACAAGACGTCAGTTCATCTGAAATTCAGTAAACTTGTGTTAAGTTATGAACAGCAACGAGAGGGAAGGGAACATAGTCAAGATTGAAGGATGTGACCATGGTCGGGGCACTTGGGGACGGTGGGGGGGGGGGGGCATTTTCAGCTACCATACTCTGCATTTTCTCTAATCGGCAACAACTTGGTTTCACTCACTTGGATTATCAGAGCTTAACGCTGGCCTCGACAAGTATGAGACCGTTGTCTTATTAACCTATTACAGTTTTTTGATATGGTAAACTTTTGCAGCAGGACTTCCTGCCCATGCGAGGCTGGTCCTGTTTACACCCAATAAATTCTGAAAATCTATAAATTTTAAACAATTTCGTCCATCAACAGCTCTCTTTACCAAATCAAGTTTTACTTACAGCCAAAATCTATACTACTTGTCGAGTTTTAATCCATTATTCCTAGTGCTGATGATTTGATGTTTAACTACTTATAACGTTGTCAATGCCTTTCATTCAAATCGTACTCCTCAATCATACCCTCGTGTTCTAAGCTTAATGAAGTAATCTCAAAGCTTTTACTCTATCTTAGCGTGATTTTTCAGTCCATTCTGTAGTACGGTGACCAAAACTGCACAGCATAAGCTGTGGGCATTTGTTAATAGCATTCGTCTTATCGAGGCTTCCAGATACAGAATAAGCTGTGTTCACACACACACACACACACACACACACACACACACACACACACACACACACACACACACACACACACACACACGAGTGACACTGCCTAACAGATGCATTATCCTGTATCGGAATGACCAATCACATGCATAGTGGCAATGCATAGTAAATTCGCCTCTCAGACTGAAAACAAAATCTAAAAAGTTTGGCCAATTGACATTTAACACTAAACCAACTGAATTGTCTTTAAGACAGGAATGGTTGGGTGCATTTCCTTCCGCTTTTCAGCAAGCGGTAAAGGCTAACTCAGGAGTTAGTTAGCTTCTTGTGAGGATGTATTCTGGGGATCAGTAATTTAACCTGGGGGGGGGGGGAAGACTTCGATATAAGCCTAACATGTATACATCCATTCGCTGCCTGTTACCTGACAATCGATTATTAAATTCCTTTTTGCCAAGGTATCGTGGCAACAATTTGTTATTAATATCTTTGTACCATCACTGCATGATACCATCTTTGATCAAGGTCAGATGTAGTCAGCAGCTGGGAATCAACAGATGTTTGGCGCATAATCGTCCCACCTCTACAGTACGATGTTTGGCTATGACTGTTTGGCTTCTCGATGACAGCCCCATCAGTTACGCTGACAGATTGCAGCCGGACGCCGGCGCAGCAGCTCCGCTTACCAAAAGCTTTTGACAACTTTCCAAGTTAGCATTTTAAGTGATATGATAATAAAATGTTAGAAATATTTTTATGACCAGCGGGGTCAATGCCCTGTGTGGCCAACAGTTTACCGCCCCAACGGGTGGTGTGGCCAACAGTTTACCGCCCCAACGGGTGGTGTGGCCAACAGTTCACCGCCCCAACGGGTGGTGTGGCCAACAGTTCACCGCCCCAACGGGTGGTGTGGCCAACAGTTCACCGCCCCAACAGGTGGTGTGGCCAACAGTTCACCGCCCCAACAGGAGGTGTGGCCAACAGTTCACCGCCCCAACAGGTGGTGTGGCCAACAGTTCACCGCCCCAACAGGTGGTGTGGCCAACAGTTCACCGCCCCAACAGGTGGTGTGGCCAACAGTTCACCGCCCCAACAGGTGGTGTGGCCAACAGTTCACCGCCCCAACAGGTAGTGTGGCCAACAGTTCACCGCCCCAACAGGTGGTGTGGCCAACAGTTCACCGCCTCAACAGGTAGTGTGGCCAACAGTTCACCGCCCCAACAGGTGGTGTGGCCAACAGTTCACCGCCCCAACAGGTGGTGTGGCCAACAGTTCACCGCCCCAACAGGTGGTGTGGCCAACAGTTCACCGCCCCAACAGGTGGTGTGGCCAACAGTTCACCGCCCCAACAGGTGGTGTGGCCAACAGTTCACCGCCCCAACAGATGGTGAACGATAAAACATCTAAATTATTGGAACCGTGGTCAGGGGTTATTGGCGGTCATTAGGAGGCCTGGTCAGGGACCGGGCCACGGGGGACATTGAGCCCCGAAATCAACGCAAGGTAACCGTCTCAAAGATCTCTAAATGTACTCTCTGGAAAGGAGACGAGAAAGGAATCAAATAATATCTTGAGGTTATCTTGAGATGATTTCGGGGCTTTAGTGTCCCCGCGGCCCGGTCCTCGACCAGGCCTTCCCCCCAGGAAGCAGCCCGTGACAGCTGACTAACACCCAGGTACCTATTTTACTGCTAAGTAACAGGGGCATAGGGTGAAAGAAACTCTGCCCATTGTTTCTCGCCGGCCCCCGGGATCGAACCCGGGACCACAGGATCACAAGTCCAGCGTGCTGTCCGCTCGGCCGACCGGTTCCCCTCCATATATATATATATTGAAGATACTGGAGGGCCAGATCCTAAATTTGCACAGTAAAAGAACACCACACTTGAGCGAAAGATACGGAAGGAAATGCAGAATAGAACCATTAAGGAGCAGAGGTGCCATAGGCACAATCAGAGAGCACTGTCTGAATGTCAGGGGTCCTCGGCTGTTCAATACCCTCCCAGCAAGAATTGGAAATATTGCCGGAACAAAGGTGGATATCTTCAAGAAACTTTTATACAAGATCCTGCAAGACGTTAGGACCAACCGCGTTTGCAATGGATATGTGGGCCTGCGGGCCTTGAGGTTATCTTGAGGTTATCTTGAGATGATTTCGGGGCTTTAGTGTCCCCGCGGCCCGGTCCTCGACCAGGCCTCCACCCCTAGGAAGCAGCCCGTGACAGCTGACTAACACCCAGGTACCTATTTTACTGCTAGGTAACAGGGGCATAGGGTGAAAGAAACTCTGCCCATTGTTTCTCGCCGGCGCCTGGGATCGAACCCAGGACCACAGGATCACAAGTCCAGCGTGCTGTCCGCTCGGCCGACCGGCTCGGCTCGGCTCGACCGGCCGCTCTAAGCAACAACCTGTTGGACCAAGTTATCACTTGGGGCCAGGCTCCCTCAACAGGTGGTGTGGCCAACAGTTCACCGCCCCAACAGGTGGTGTGGCCAACAGTTCACCGCCCCAACAGGTGGTGTGGCCAACAGTTCACCGCCCCAACAGGTGGTGTGGCCAACAGTTCACCGCCACAACAGGTGGTGTGGCCAACAGTTCACCGCCACAACAGGTGGTGTGGCCAACAGTTCACCGCCCCAACAGGTGGTGTGGCCAACAGTTCACCGCCCCAACGGGTGGTGTGGCCAACAGTTCACCGCCCCAACGGGTGGTGTGGCCAACAGTTCACCGCCCCAACAGGTGGTGTGGCCAACAGTTCACCGCCCCAACAGGTGGTGTGGCCAACAGTTCACCGCCACAACAGGTGGTGTGGCCAACAGTTCACCGCCCCAACGGGTGGTGTGGCCAACAGTTCACCGCCCCAACGGGTGGTGTGGCCAACAGTTTACCGCCCCAACGGGTGGTGTGGCCAACAGTTTACCGCCCCAACGGGTGGTGTGGCCAACAGTTCACCGCCCCAACGGGTGGTGTGGCCAACAGTTCACCGCCCCAACAGGTGGTGTGGCCAACAGTTCACCGCCCCAACAGGTGGTGTGGCCAACAGTTCACCGCCCCAACAGGTGGTGTGGCCAGTAATCCTTGCCTCTGTAATGCCAACGTCCAACTAACTATCCGTCACCGCACTAACAAATCGTTCTTTCACGTTACCAATGTTTCTGAACTTTGTACTCGAGTAAGATTTGCCAAGTTAGGTTTGGTTACGCTGACCAGGGTCCGGTTGATTAGTTTATTCATTAAAGCTGAAATGGACCCCACATGACAATGATTCCTGCAACTTAACAACTGCCATACAAGTCAACGTTCTTGCACATAGCTTCCAAATACGATATAATTACAGATTTGTGATTGATGGCACTATCCATATCCTAAAAAAAAAATTATGTCAAGCCACAATAGCGGCAACATTTATAGATCAAATTACGTTCGAATGGAGCGTTGCTATGTTGATGTTGGGGTGGAGGCGTGCGAGGGTCTGGTTGTTGCACAGTGGTAGCCATGATGGGGAGGTGGTGGGTATAGCTCCCCTATCTGGGCCCAGCGAGCCTGTCCCCGCCACTCCCCACCACCACCACCAGCCTCCCGACTCACCACCACCCAAGGCCCACCTCTTAACCCTTCCCTTGTTCAACCCTACTCTTCCTCCCTCCTCGCATACATAATCACTCCCTCACTTACGCAAGGTGAGTACATGCACTCATTTACACATGACGGCTACGTTAAAACACACGGTACACCTTCACTGGACGTCGAGTTAATACTTGTAGTGTCAACCACCATATCACCGTAATGTCCACTAAGCCTTTGTCACAAAGATCACATGGTTAGGTTCTAGCACGCGTGTATCCACAACAGTTCTTAACAACACACAGATAACACTTGCATTTTGCTTTTTCAAAACATTTCTGGCACGACTGTTCAGTGAGTGATGAGGGCGAGCGGTGCACATAGGCAGCGATGATGGGCCTGTAGAGTGGATGCTGGAGCCAGGCCTGGTGGGCTGTGTCCCTTTGTAAAGAGAGGGGAAGTAGCGACGGGGCGGCAATACATTGCTGGGCAAGGGTGGAACATAAGGCGGGAGAAGAGTGGCGGCGACCTGCGGCCACTACACACACACGCTCACTGGTGGTGTAGGCAGGGCTTGGCGGGGGATACGAGCGGCGGCGGCACAAGGCAACGAGGCGGCCCTACCTCCACACGGCTGGGCGGCGCACCTCACACTGCCCTCTCCCGCGTACGAACGCTACACCGACCTACGTACGCTGTAGGCCCGCCACGCGCGGCTGTGCGAGGACACTACCCCACTCACACACACACACACACACACACACACACACACACACACACACACACACACACACACACACACACACACACACACACACACACACACCCCCGCCATCCCAGGCACCAGTTCAACACTTCACACCGTTAACACAAACATCTCGGTGCCGGTGGAACAGTGTCACAGTTGAGGTGAAGGCCGGAGAAGGCAAGGTGTCAAGTAAGGGTTGAAGAATGATAGCAAGAGGGGGAGAAGGGTAGTTTTACAGGGCCAATGATGTAAGTGAGGAGGAGGAGGAGGAGGCGGGGTACACAGCTGCCTTATCTCTCACTGGCCGGCCCACAGCTCGACCCGCACCCTACCTACTGGGATCTACCCAAGGACAGACTCCACTTTAATGAACGCGCCAACCCCACACCCGGAGAATAGTGGCACCATAGGCCGGACGGCAGGCACTCAAGTGGATGGGAGAGAAGTGTAGAGCCGTGAGGGGAGGAGGCCAAGTGGACACATGAGAGGTAATGGCAAGAACGGCGCACAAAGATAGCTATGGGAGGGAGAGCGTGCGAGAGTAGGGTGTAAAGAGAGCGCGGGGTAGAAAGAGAGTGGGGGGCGCAGGCAGTCTTGGTCCGCCGAGGTGGCTCCCTCGCAACATCTTGCAACCACGCCGGCCTACCCCCCAGGCCACCACCACCACAACCACCACCACCCAACACTCTCAACCACCTTCGTCCACCTCCTGTAATGTTTCGCCAGCCCACACTTGGCTACGTTCACCAGAGCGGGCGTGCGGGCGCCTCGTACGGCAGAGTAATGGGCGTGAGTGTGCCTCAAGACCCGTGCGGTTGTAGAGCAGGGCGGCCTGTCCCCCCCACACACACCCCCACCCATCACTTCCCCGCCACCCTAACAAAGACTAACAAAAAGTAACAGTTCTAAAAAGCTACAAGCGGAGCCCGAGGTGACCCGCCCCGTCTCTCCCTAGGTCTCTCCTGGCTCCCTCACTCCTCCCTCTATGGGTCTCCTACCCCCGAGCTCTACCTATATTCCTTATCTAAATCCGCCCCATGTCCTTCTTGAAGGCCGAGTGTTTGATAACGCCTCCACAGTACGCCAACGTCTGCGTAGGCCCCCCCCCCCCCCCCCCTACGTCCGTAGCTGCCACCTCCTCCCTCCTTTCCGTCCCGCGTCCGTAACCACCGCCCCCCCCCTCCACGTCCCGCGTGCGTAAACCCCCCCCCACGTCCCGCGTGCGTAACCACCGCCCCCCCCACGTCCCGCGTGCGTAACCACCACCCCCCCCCCACGTCCCGCGTGCGTAACCACCCCCCCACGTCCCGCGTGCGTAACCACCGCCCCCCCCCACGTCCCGCGTGCGTAACCACCGCCCCCCCCCCACGTCCCGCGTGCGTAACCACCGCCCCCCCCCACGTCCCGCGTGCGTAACCACCGCCCCCCCCACGTCCCGCGTGCGTAACCACCGCCCCCCCCACGTCCCGCGTGCGTAACCACCGCCCCCCCCACGTCCCGCGTGCGTAACCACCGCCCCCCCACGTCCCGCGTGCGTAACCACCGCCCCCCCCCACGTCCCGCGTGCGTAACCACCGCCCCCCCCACGTCCCGCGTGCGTAACCACCGCCCCCCCCCCCACGTCCCGCGTGCGTAACCACCGCCCCCCCCCCACGTCCCGCGTGCGTAACCACCGCCCCCCCCCACGTCCCGCGTGCGTAACCACCGCCCCCCCCCCACGTACCACATGCTTAACCGCTGATCCGCTCCCCATCTCCCGTCCCACGTTGAACTTGCCCATTCCACGTGCGTAGCTGCCTTTGCCCCCTTTCCCACGTAAGTAATTATCAAAAGGCGCCAAGACTTCCCTTTCCACGTGCGTAGCCGCCATCTCACCCGCCAGCCGCCCCGCCAGAGTGTGCCCAGCCGCCAGCCGCCCCGCCAGAGTGTGCCCAGCCGCCAGCAGCCCCGCCAGAGTGTGCCCAGCCGCCAGCAGCCCCGCCAGAGTGTGCCCAGCCGCCAGCAGCCCCGCCAGAGTGTGCCCAGCCGCCAGCAGCCCCGCCAGAGTGTGCCCAGCCGCCAGCAGCCCCGCCAGAGTGTGCCCAGCCGCCAGCAGCCCCGCCAGAGTGTGCCCAGCCGCCAGCAGCCCCGCCAGAGTGCCCAGCCGCCAGCAGCCCCGCCAGAGTGTGCCCAGCCGCCAGCAGCCCCGCCAGAGTGCCCAGCCGCCAGCAGCCCCGCCAGAGTGTGCCCAGCCGCCAGCAGCCCCGCCAGAGTGTGCCCAGCCGCCAGCAGCCCCGCCAGTGTGTGCCCAGCCGCCAGCAGCCCCGCCAGAGTGCCCAGCCGCCAGCAGCCCCTCCAGAGTGTGCCCAGCCGCCAGCAGCCCCGCCAGAGAGGGTAGATGCTCTCCATCCTCTCCTGTCCCACGGGCGTATGGTCCCCCCCCCCCCCGTGTACCAAAGCCCGGGTACAAGGCTGTGTCCTGGGGAGAAGGGTCCAATACCTGAGAAAAGTATGCAACCTTTCTCGTACTCCCTACTCTTAACCCTCTCCCAAGCCATCCTAACGAAAATAAGATACAAGTCTGTCTCTTGTCTATGGCGGCCATTAGGTATGTGACGTCATAATGTTCATATTATTAGAGGTTTTGATTGATTATTGCCGCCGCCGGCAGAGGCGGGTAGTTTATTGGGGATCCAATACTCGTCCTGTGAGCGGTAGCGCAAAAAAGGATTAGAGAGAGAGAGGACAAAAGATCTTTATCAGAGGTTTTGGGTCTTACTGGTCTCGTGTACGTATGTCCGTCCGGTGTGCCAAATGGTCTGTTCAGTATGCGTACGTTCATATTTTTGTTTTGTTTTTCTTCCCGAAGGTCCGTCCCTTACACCGTAGTTCAGTCGGTAGTCCTAGGACCCGGTCCCCACCTCACGTGGTCGGCCACACTCTTCACGTCCACACATCGCTAAGGTTAGTTGTCGTGTTGACCAGACCACACACTAGAAGTTGAAGGGACGACGACGTTTCGGTCCGTCTTGGACCATTCTCAAGTCGATTGTGACTTGAGAACGGTCTCACAATCGACTTGAGAATGGTCCAGGACGGACCGAAACGTCGTCGTCCCTTCAACTTCTAGTGTGTGGTCTGGTCAACATACTTCAGCCACGTTATTGTGACTCATCGCCTGCTTAGTTGTCGTGGTCTCAGACCCAATAAAAGGGGGAAGAATTCAGCAAATTAAAAGTTAATGACTAACAGGAGACAAGTAACTCAAGACTTAACAAATATGCTGGGAAGAACAGCTCGATCATGCAAGTCCCGTAAGTCCCGTAAGGAAAGAGAGAAATAGATGCAAAATGGAACGTGAGCGGTGTTCCCTGTACAAGCGAAGAACACAACTCACAGAACATCTCGAGTGCTCCACACTCTCCCAAGAACGACAAGGGAAGGCTATGTAGAGGCATAGTAACGACCGAGCTAAAGCTGCAAGAATCTTATAAAGTCCAGGAGAGGCAAAGAGAGCAAAAGGTCATTTGTAAAAGAGAGAGGAATCGGATTTTTTTTTCTGTGCAAAATCTAGAAGTAAACCCACATCTAGTATTGGGCCCTCGCGCAAGGGTGCTCAAACATTCACATTTGGCAACAAAGAAATGAGCAAAATACCGAGGCTTCAGTACAATTCTATTTACATTGAGCTCCTGAAGAAATTGAGGATTAACGCTCCAAATGAATTGTCTATGAATGTTGCACCAACATCGAGCCATATATCATATGTATCAAAAATATATCAAAATATATCATATATCAAAATATATCATATCAAAATCCCCGACTCCACTGGACTTTGAAGTAATCATAGACAGCATGCCCACGCACTCTGCACAAAGTCCAGACTCCTGGAATTCCATATTTATCAAGTGCAAAAAAACACTATTAATTTCAAGGACCTAAATATGATTTGGAGAAGGAGCTTAGATACTGATTATTTCATTTGTGGGAACAGGGCGATAAAGAGTTGGAGACGGGCTCAAGAAACAGGAGACTTAACAAGACTTGACAATTCGTACTTAGATAGAACTATTAACATTAAAGGGCCCAAGACGTTTCAACGCTCTCCTACACATAACTGGCTGACCTCTCACGGTGTTCAAAAGAGAACTTGATAAACATCCTCAAAACATACCTGATTAACCAGGCTATGACTCGTACGTCAGGCTGCGAGCAGCAGCGTCGAACAGCCTGGTTAACCAGATCACCAACCAGGAGACTGGGCCGCGGAGAGGTTGATCCCCTGAAGCATCGGAAGGTAAAAGCAAGACGAGGTCCATCCTGAGGTCGACAATTGTATGACCCCAAGACACGACTGTGTACAAAACCATTTACTTAAATTCAAGCTCACAAAATCCGCACTTCAAAATGCTACAAATTTGACAGTGAAAAGTAAGATTATGTAATTGTTTTAAGTATTAACCCCAGACGCCAGTACACCCCCCAGGTACCAGTACCACTTGCGTCTATCACATGGGTATCGCCACACCACAAGCCAGCTTATACCACAGCGAAACAATTAGCGCCGTGCACCTTGTATACCAGCACTACACCCCGCGGCTAACGCGGTAACCCCCACGCAGGCGAGGTGGCGCCACATACGTAGGCCACATACATACATACGCCACCTTACGTAGCGAGGTGGGCCACATACTCTGACCTGTTATGTGGAGGTTGTACCCCAGAGTAGCCCAGCCCGACACCTGGCTTCCCCGGTGATAACCTCATCAGTAATTACCGGTAACAGGTTGCAAGTCAACATTGCTATTATAGCAGGGATGATGAAGGAGAGGGAGGGGAGGGGGCGGCGTGGTATAGTGACCTCTTGCGACCTTACTGGTCAGCGTCTG